TCCATTGTCGGTCAAGATTCAAGTCGTCCAAGAGTGGCCGGAACCGCTAAACGTCACGAATGTCCGTTCGTTCCTTGGCCTTGTCGGCTACTACCAACGTTTTATCTAGGGATACTCGAAGATCGTGGCCCACTTGACCAAGCTTCAATGCGAGGATCGGCCGTTTGACTTCGGAGAGGATGAGCGAGAATCATTTTTGGCTCTAAAAGCCGAGCTATTATCTGCGGAGGTCTTGCGCATATACGACTCGCTATTGCCAACGCGCGTCACTACGGATGCGTCCGACTATGGCATTGGTGTCGTCCTCGAACAACACGATGGCATGGACGGGCACCCAGTAGAGTACTTCCGCAAGAAAGTGCCTATCGTGCACTCCATTGATGATGCACGCAAGAAGGAGCTCCTAGACTTCGTCCACGCGCTCGAGCGGTGGCGACACTTCCTCCTTGGTCGAAGTCAGTTCCGATGGGTAACGGACAACAATCCGTTGGTCTTTTACAAGATCCAACACACCGTCAATAGCACCATCGCCCGTTGGATGGCTTTCATCGACCAATTCGACTTCTTTCCCCATCACATTTCGGGGAAGTCTAACCGTTTTGCGGATGTTCTTTCACGACGTCCGAATCATTGTACCGCAGTCTATTCGACCTTTGAGATCGACGACGACCCGCGGGAAAGCTTCATCCGCGGCTACCAACCCGACCCCGACTTTCGCGACAAGTACGCGAATTGCTCCTCTCCTAATCCGGCGCCTTCTCACTACCAGATCCAAGAGGGGTACTTGCTTGTCCGCACGCGGGGGAAGGACCTTCTTTGCGTACCGAGTGACTCTCACTTGCGTACACGGTTTCTTGGTGAGTTCCACGATGCTCCTGCCACCGGACACTTTGGAGTCAATCGCACGGTTGGCTGACTTCGCGAGTGCTTTTTGTGGCCATGCCTTCTCAGCGACGTCACACGCGCTATTGCGAGTCATGTGAGGTTTGTCGGCGCTGCAAATCCCGCAACCATCGTCCGTACGGAGAGTTGCGACCATTACCGGTCGCCTTGAGCCGAAGGGAAGCGATTGCCATGGACATTACCGAGTCGTTCCCCAAGCACAAGACCGGTGTGGATGGGATTCTCACGGTGGTCGACCGACTCACCAAGTTCGCCATGTTTTTGCCTTACCGCTATCATGTCAAGGCACCAGAGTTGGCCGAGGTTCTTTACGCCGGTTGGATTCGAACCAAGGGTTACCCCAAGGAAATCGTCTGCGACCGCGACACTCGGTTCATGTCCGATTTTTGGATGGCGCTCATCAAACGATGGGGCTTATCTCTCAAGCCACGTTCGGCTCGCCACCCCCAAACAAATGGCCAAACGGAGAGGGCGCATCAGACCGCACAGGTTCTCCTTCGCACTCTCATCCGTCCCGACTAAAAGGATTGGGTTGAGCGGTTGCCGGATGTCGAGTTGGCATACAACTCGTCCATCCACCCGGCTATCGGGATGTCTCCCTTCGAGTTCGAGCATGGCTTGCCGGTCACTTATCCGTTGGACACAATCATTCCACAAGCAGCCGAGAGCGACGACCATCTTCTTTTCTTGCGATGGATGCAAGAGCTACTTGTCAAAGCACACGACCAGATGGCTAAGACGCAGCAACGCATGAGCCAACATGCCAATTGCCAGCGTCTTCCTTGTCCATTCCGCATTGGCGATCTCGTTTGGGTTTCCGCCGCAGAGTTCAGCCTCGAGCAAGATATCTCTCGCAAGCTCCTCCTGAAAAGGATGGGTCCCTGGCCGATCGTGGCACCCGCTGGGGATGCACCCGAAGGACCTTCCTTCATCATTCAGGTGCCCGCCCACTTGCCCGTCTACCCGGTCTTTCATTGCTCCAAGTTGGCTCCTTACACGCCAGCAGAACATGACGACTTTCCTGGGCGACGATCGCGAGACCCCCCCTCTATGGACGGTTTTCAAGAGGTCAGCGACATCATCTCTCAGCGACGCTACGACAACAGGCCGACCAAATACTTGGTACACTTTGTGTACTGCACCCACAAAGCCGACAATTGGTTGACCCGTGCTGAACTCCAAGCAACAGCTCCAGATGTTCTCGCACGCAACGAAGGCAAGATGCAAGGCAAGCCGGTATCTTCGGCTCCACGTCACACCCGCGTCCAGGTTCCACCTTCAGATCGCCAGCTTTGCCGTCGACCCGACTTGACTTCATAAGTAGGGGGGTGTGTTACATGCTGAGCCTGCAAACAAGGGCCATTTTCAGGCCTTGTGTCATTTCAGCCTGAAAGCCTGAAAACAAGGGCCTACAGGCCCTGTGTCATTTCAGCCTGCCTGAAAATAAGGGCCTACAGGCCGCATGTCGTTTCAGCCTAAAAAAGGGCCCTCCAGGCCCTAAGTGTTTTCAGCCTGAAACGGAGGGCCATTTTCAGGCCCTCATAAGATCGACCAGCCCTGAAACTTAGGCACCAGACCAGGGTTTTAGCACAGGCCATTTTGGGCCTGTTTTCAAGACAACCTTGGTTGAACTTCAACACCAGGGTCTGGCACGTTTTGGCATTGGCAAGAGCAGCCTCCTGGACGGGCCAACACTATATAAGACTGGCCCGCCCTGCAGGCTGCAGGTAGTTCATCGGGGACTTCCCAGGCACTTCACGTGCAGTTCAGGAGGCAGGAGGTAGTCTTCAAGATTCGGCAGCAGCACTCTGGAGGAGCGCTGCAGTAGTAGTAGTAGCGTTAGCAGTAGTCTTCAGCGCTGGGCGCTAGTAGGAGCTAGAGTAGCACTGGAGAGAGAGAGAGATTTGGAGGAGGCCAGGGAGACCTGCAGCGCCATAGCTCCAGCTTCGTGTTCGAGGTACCTGCAGCACGTCGCCATCTTCAGAGGTTAGTACCTGTCACATGGCAGAGAGAGAGAGAGAGAGANTAGTAGTAGCGCTAGCTGTAGTCTTCGGCGCTGGGCGCCATAGCCATAGCAGTGGTCTTCAGCGCTGGGCGCTGTAGGTGGTAGGTAGTAGAGTGGGGAGAGACACTGGCGGAGGCCAGTGGTACGTACCTGTGGCGCCATCGCTCCAGCTCCATCTTCGAGGTACCTGCATCAAGGCGCCAACTTCACAGGTTAGTACTAGAGAGAGAGAGAGAGAGAGAGAGAGAGAGAGAGAGAGAGAGAGAGAGAGAGAGAGAGAGAGAGAGAGAGAGAGAGAGAGAGAGTTCTTCTCCCTCCTCCTCTCATTCCACCATCCCTTCCTCACCCTCTCGCTATCTGACTTCTCGGCATCAGCAGACTACGGGCGAGAGAGAGATTGATGACTTTGGGGATGTTGACGACATTGGGATACAGACTCAACTTTGGGATCGAGACATTGACAAGGGACTATTTGGGATCGATACCAGTGACACTTGGGTGACGACATTCCCATCTTCTCCCTCATCTTCGTCTACTCCCCCTCCTCTTCGTCTGTGGATGTTTGGGGCTGGCACATTCTTCCTGAGTGAGTGCCAGGGCCCTTCACACCTTGTAATGATGATGAGGTATGTTCGGTCTGCATTGCAACATCGATTGGGTTGATCATTGGTGTCCTAGCATTCTGCTGCGCTATCTTGTACTATGTGAGGAAGGTTGGTCGTTGTTCTGGTTTGCACCATTACGGTATGCAACACTTTGGTATCTCTTCCTCCTCTCACATGTGTGATGTATGATGGGATGTCGTGTCAGTCCCGGTCAGGTCAAGACTTATATCCAAGTCTTCCACTGCGCTCCAAAGTACCTTTTTGTATGCATCAGGATGTACACTGCTTGTTGAGATTCCACTAACACTGCATTGTGTATTCAGTCCTTTTCATCACCTTGCGGATCCTTGGCTGTACATACATTGCCCAACTGGGCATGTATCACACACACACACACACACACACACACACACACACACACACACACACACCACATCGTCCTCCCTCCATCCTTCCTCCTCCTACTCCCTCCATCCTCTGTCCTCGTCCATCCACCGATGTCTTGTCTCCATCATGGTCGTATGCCTCCCTAATCTTCTCCCCTCCTTCCTCCCTCCTCTCGGTGGAATAAAGTCATTCTGAATTACCTGGTGCAGATTGGCTTGGTGATCACATCTCAAGGTTGTTGCCCTTTTCTTTTATAATTCACCTCAACACCTCATTCGCAGCAACAAAACCACCCGCTTTTGCGTCCGCATACCTTTGAAAAGAAGAATGCCACCCTGTGCCGCTGGTGTAGCTGTGGCGGGTTGGCTTGTTATTATTAATGTTTTCTCCCCTCCTCTATTTCTTCTCCTACCCTTGTCTATTTTCTGGTTACTCGCCGCTCCACGTGTATTTACATCGGAGGTGTGCTGATGACATGGTGAGGTTCTCATAACTTGGTCATGAAACTTCTTTCACTTGAGTTGTGGAAGGGCGTTCTCTTCCTGAGTTTTGCATGATGAGCTGACCAGGATCATAGCAGGGCAGAAAAACCCAGCTCGCTAATTCACGGTCTGCCACACTGTTGCTTTGAGGAAGAAGATGGGTGGAGCACAGATACATCCACAAATTCCCTGGAAGCAATCAATGCTGCTGTCTGAGGGTCCTTCGGACATGGTGGAAGGAAGCATTGACGTTAATCTCTTTTGTAAGGGACTCTGGACCCCATTTTCAGCAATCAATATAAAGAGTATGATTAAGAAGAAAAAAAAGTTCTGTATACTAGTGTATACTCATTAAACCACCACTACGCGGCCCAGGTAAAAAGAATCACATATGTCTGAAACTTTTGGGGGATTCGGGGGTACCTGACAAAAATGGATGGTGCATTCAGCTAAAAAGAAAGAAGGCGTGCCCGTGCCAGTTCGGCTTTATTTTTTTGGTCAGATCCATGAAAACAGCCTCAGACGTAGTGGTGGTGAAAGACCAGTAAGAAGCTAATGGTAGCTGCCACATACGTATGAGCAAAGGAAAGGTGCGGTAATAGTGAAAGAGTTGCTTACCATGGTCGATGACGTGGATCATATATCAGTGTCTTTTCCCGACAATTGTATGGGTAATAACCATCCCCACCAATAAATTGATTCTGTGCAAGACAACAGACGTACACCCGGCAGAATCACATATTTCCATCAATTTTTCTGCAAAAGAGGTTGGAAGGAGATGTAGAGCATGCTGCACTTTTCGGGCATTGCTTGGTAGAGCAACGCACTGCTATTTATAGAGCTACAGTGCAGCGTGGACTTCATTTGTCAATTTGTGCGCTGCGGAAGCTCTGCTGGATACTTGTGTGGTTGGATGGAGGCATTTGGGGAAGGAAGACAAAGGGCACTCATGAGCCATAGCTAGGGTTACCAAGGAGGAAGACGCTGGCCATAACTGTAGAGCAGAGAGAGAGAGGGTGGGGAGAGTAGAGAGTGCATTCAGAGAGTGAGTGTGAGTGATCCAAGCATTCAGAGTGGGCAACTGAAGAGAGAGAGAGAGAGAGAGAGAGAGAGAGAGAGAGAGAGAGAGAGAGAGAGAGAGAGAGAGGGCAGGAGGGAGGGAGAGAGACAGAGAAAGGGAGCAGTTACCTGGTTGATGATTTGGAGTTGCGGCGATAGCCGCTTGTAATCGGAACTAGATGTTGTATAATTTAATTTGTTTTGGAGTATAATCTTCTCGATTTGGGCTAATCTGCCATCTCACTGCTTTTGCGAAAGTTCTATGTGAGGTCTGTGTGATGCAAGTTGCAATTCGGGATTGAATCCGAGCTGGTACATTGCACTTGTACTGGAGCATGGTTCCGTTGCACCGCGAAGGAGGAGATTGGAGGCCAGCGCTGATTTAGACCGGGGGGCGATAGGGGTTGATTGCACTGAGAACTCCGCTGCCAACTTTTGCATCTCTTCCTCCTCTTCCTTCGCCTTCTCCATTCTCCCGTCTCCTCTTTGCCTCCACATTTTTCTTCTCTGCTTCTGCACACCATTCACCAACGGTCACAATGGGGGGCTTGATTTCAGCTTCCCCGGAGTGATCCCGACCGCTGGACGGTACTCCCTGACCTCCTGCTCCTCCTCCTCTTCTCCTTCCTCTTCTTCACTTTCCTGAAGTTTCCTCCCTGCATCCTCTTCTCCAAGCTTTTGCAATCTTTTCTTCTTCTGTGGTTCTTCATCCCCCGGATTTGGTGGCTGTAAAGTATCTTTCCCGCTATGGTGCATGATCACCAAAAAGTGCACACAACGCGAGAAACCCTTGCGGGGACAACAATTGAAAGAGGGGTTGGAAAGATACGGAGCAGACTAGAACATCAGCAGTGGGCAATTCAAGGAGTAACGAAAAACTGTGCCTGCGAGGGAAGAAAATTGCGCTAGCGCTAGCGCCCTAACGCCGGCCGACCGGCGAGGCCCGGCCGTACCCGGCTTGACCAGAGGGCTGGAGAGGTAGTTCCCTCCAGGCCGCTGGGCCTGTTCATGTGCCATCGACACGTGGTCGTGGTTGCTTGCCACGTGCCACCTGTCGTTTGGTGGTGGTGATGCCCCGTGACGTGTGAATAGGGGAAGCGCCAGCCGTGAGTAATTGGAGGCAATTGTATAACAGCGGCGCAATGAGTCTGTAACCTGGGGGGTGAAAGATACGGTGACGTGAGTAGATTGGAGGATGGAGATCGTGAATTCGAATGAGATGAGGTCAGAAGCTGTCGAATGGCTCGGCACTGCCCAGGCAAGCGTTGCACGTTTAAATCAGATGGTGGTGATGCTGCGAGTGACAGTGACTGGAGTGTTCAGCATGCCATGCTGGAGATTGTAGGGGGCCTGGAGGAGGGGCCGCCTCCCCGATTTCGAGCATATACAGATCAGCTGCGATGGCATGCACTGAAGGGGCGTTGCTGTGAGGAGCTGGCGGACGGGCAAGGCCTTTGCGGTGCGCTGGAGGACAGATTTTTTGAGGGCGATGACGACACTGTGGCCGATTCTCAGAACACTGGTGCAGACGATGTCGCCAAGACTGACAGCGGTAACAATGATAATCTCCTCTTCTACATCGCTCAAATCAACAAAACCATTAATCCCGATAACAGTAAGGAACTGTCGGAGTCTGTAGCGCAGGGTGAGAATGGTAACAATAAAGACAACAATCACACTTTGCGGGATACTGGGCTGGGAGGAGGCATCGGCAGTAGGTGGGTGAACGATTGCAACAGCGTTATGGTCGGCGGCAACAAGAGTGGCGATAACAAAGATAATGATCGTGATATTCAAGGAGCCGCTGCAAACAACATCAATAACAATCACACTGAGCGCGACGGTGGAATGGGTGGAGGGATTTTGCGCTTATGCGCACCAGGAAACGGTGATGATCTCAACAACAACAATAACAACTACAAATCGGCGGGTGACAACACGCCGGGGAGCGACAACGGTTGCAACAACAGCATCGGCTACATTTTAGCAGGTGACAACACGCCGGGGTACGATAACGATTGCAACAACAGCAGTAATCATAATAATACAACCGGCGACAGCAAAAATAAAAACAGTGGCACTTATGGAATAGCAAGTTTTAATGGGCGGTTTCTTCTCCCTTTTTCTCGCCCCCCCCCCTTCTTTTTTTGCCGTTTTTTTTTGGGGATTGACTGGGGGTATGGGCGAGTTGGGTGGATGAGTGGAATGCTTGGGAAGCAGGAAGACTGTTGCATACTTGCGAGAACTTCGACAAGTATGGGCAGAACCAAGAGATCAACCATTATAGGATGAGCATGTACGCAGCGGAAGTCTGATAAATGGACTGACTCACATAGACTGACTCACACAGATATCACTCCACACACAAACAATCGTGAGATGGTGGGGTCTGAGCCATTCATAGACGATGCTCAGGCCCCGTACACACATACACAGATGAAAGGTGGGAGGAGAGACAAAGGAGGGGGAGATGTAGGTAGCACCAGATGTCACCGAGATAGAATCCAATAGGTCACCGATATGGTAGTCCAAAATGTCATCGAAAAAGATCAAAATGCCGTGGACAATAAGTCACCAATGTCGGAGATACAGAGTCCTAATGTAAACGGTGTCCGATCTGTGATGCCGCCAAGTATCAACCCCAACAATCTCCAAGTCTCGAATCCAGTAAGTACCACAGCCTCTTACCACCGAAGCCCAACACTGATCTCTGTCCAACTAGTATCAAGTCTCCAGTCTGAAGAAGAAGAAGATGAAGTCTGAAGAAGAAGAAGTCTGAAGAAGAAGAGAAGAAGAAGAAGAGGACAGAGGAGGAGGGAGGTGAGGAAGAGGGGAGCCAGGGACCGTGGAGGGAGGAGAAGACCTCACTCCCGAGTACCTGGCCTGCTGCAACTGACGGAAGCCGAGATCGGCTATGGCTGCCCGCTGCCTGGCTCCTCGCTCGCTGCTGCTGCTGCGCTAGCTGCGCTGCTGCTGCTCCTCCGCGCTGCGCTAAGAATAGCGCGGGCG